TAATTAACACCCAGAACCTCAACATGCAGTGGTACCTACTGCTTTCTTATATCAGCATCCACTTTTTGTCACCATGGTTCTGTAATCCCTGTTTAACAACATCCTTATATTAAATATTATATATATAGAAAGATTTCAAACATCCATTAACACTAGATATATTATTATAAACTTGCCATTTACCCATCATCCAGATCAATAATTGTCAACAAATGATCAGTTTTGTTTTATCCACTCTATTTCTTCACCCTCCATTGGATTATTTTAAAGCATATCACAGACATCTTATTTCACTTGTAAAAGCTTCAGTATAAATCTTTACTGAAGTAGAGATTTCACTTGAATTTCTTAGTCTTGTATATGTCTTTTTATATTTAGTTTGTTCAAAACAAAATCCAAAAAAATGCCTCTTAAATCTTTTAAATCTAATCAGTATGGATGGTAGCTATACTTATGGTGAACATAGCATAATGTATAAACTTATCCAATCACTGTTGTACACCTAAACTAATGTAACATTGTATATCAATAATACTGAAAGGAAAAAAAAATAGGGGCACTTGAGTAGCTCGGTCTGTTAAGCCTCTGAGACTTTTGATTTCATCTCAGGTCATGATCTCAGGGTCGTGAGTCCATGTGGGGCTCTGTGCTGGGAGTGGAGTCTGCTTAAGATTCTCTCTCTCCCTCTGCCCCTCCCCTTCTCCCTATTTAAAAAAATAAATAAATAAATCTACCACAGTCCCCTGCCTTTCTCCTTTTTTTTTTTTTTTTTTTGAGAGAGAGAGCACAAGCAGGGGGGAAGGAGGGAGGGACAGAGAGAGAGGGAGAGAGAGAATCCCAAGCAGGCTCCATGCTCAGCCCATAGCCCAATGGGGGGCTTGATCCCAAGACCTCAAGACCATGACCTGAACCAAAATCAAGAGTCAGACACTCAATCAACTGAGCCACCCAGGCACCCCATCATTCCTCCTTCTGTATTTGACATTTGTTGAAGAAATGGGTCATTCGTCCTATAAAATTTCCCATATTATTTGGCAGATTGAATTTCCTTTGGTGTCATTTAACTTGTTCTTCTATCCCCTGTATAAACTGGCTTATCTAAAAGCTTGACCAGATTCAGATTCAATTATTTTGGCAAGAATATTTAATATGTGGTATTGTGTCAAATATATTTTTGACAGCATAGTTGGTTTGGACTCTAAGAGACTGACTCTCACAGGTCTCTGCTGAGTTTTAATTTACCACCAATCTTTTTATGTTGATAGACCTTTTAACCCCCAATTTATGAAAGCACTCTCATCTACTGAAACTGAACCAGAGTTTATTATCACCTTTAAGCTTATGACATTATTTCCTTCGCTGAGAAGTCAAATGAGGACCATGTACTGTCATCTATTACAAAGATTCTTTTATTTGCTTTAAAAAATGTTTTTTATTGGGAAACTCTATTTCATATGTCTTGGAAGAGTTGAATGAGAAAATGTTTGGCAAATTTAATAAAAGGCCTTCTATTAAGTACATAAGCATATCATTTGTTGTACCAAAAAATTATGTTTTACAGGGGCGCCTGGGTGGCTCAGTTGGTTAAGCGACTGCCTTCGGCTCAGGTCATGATCCTGGAGTCCCGGGATCGAGTCCCGCATCGGGCTCCCTGCTCGGCAGGGAGTCTGCTTCTCCCTCTGACCCTCCTCCCTCTCATGCTCTCTGTCTCTCATTCTCTCTCTCTCTCAAATAAATAAATAAAATCTTTAAAAAAAAAAAAATTATGTTTTACAGGCCATCTAGTTAACAATACCAATAGTTTGAAATAGAACTTAGTAGGAGGTGGCATTGTATTTTCTAGACAACTGGTAACGACTGGTTTTTGAGCAGGGGAGTAATATGATAAAAATGTGTTTTAAGGAAAACATTACTGAAAATATTTAAGTCAGGAAGAGCATAGATTCTGTATTTGAAGGTAATCTAATATAGAATTGCTTGGATGCAGCTACAGAACCACCTCAACTAACAAGTACATCCTGTGTTATATTGAAAAGTGTTTGACAAACTTTGTAGCTCGTGATTTCAACTCACTTCACAAAGCATGACTGCAATGAACAAAGCAAGAGTAGAAAAATAATAAAAAATAACAAATTCCCTATATCATTATTTACATCACCCCCCCCAAATAATCATACATATACACAGCAGCTAGAATATTTCTGTGAATGTAAATTAGATCAAGTCACTATTCTGACCTCTAAACTTGCATGACTTCCCTTCACACTTAGAATAAAATCCAAAGTTGGTACCATGGCCTCCCAGGCACTATGATAAAGTCCTCACTACCTCTGACCTCATTTCCTACCTCTCTCCTCCTCACTCACTGTGATTCAAATACCTTGCTCTTCATAAAACAGGGTAAAATTGTTTCTGTTTGGGGCCTTTGCACTTGGTATTCCACCGGAAGCTACTTCCCCCCCAAATACATAATTCCTCACTTCATTTAGGCCTTTGTTCAGTATCACCTCCTCAGAGGCCCACCTGACCACCCTGTACAGAATAGCACCCTACCTTACCCCTCTCCACCTCATTACCCTGCTTTATTTTTTTTTCTATAACAAGTGCCCAATATTTGTTGGCTATATTTAATCAACCATCTCATTGACTCCTCAAAACTATATTCAGTAGGTAGTACTGCTATCCAGTTTACAGAAAACGTACAAAGGTTAAATAAGGACCTGGGAACAAACGGAGGAGAAAAGGATGTCAGGATTTGATGACTTGATTCCTGAAATGGGTAAATTAAAGCAAAGTTGTCTGGTTTGTCTGGACTATGGGAAACCCACACTATCCACGAACACCAATGAAAATGTCGGCCACACAAGAGGAAGGCAAATAGAATGAGTCTGTTCCGCAAGGACATGACCTTATGTTACCCTCGCAACAATCTCCTGGGGAAAGCACAGCCGGTCCTGTGTTTGACAATCATTAAACAGCAAGAGTCCGACGGCCAGACTTCGCAGCCAGTAGCGATGGCGGTCCGGCTCAGCACGTACTGGTTTGGACAGTTACGTAATTAACACCCAGAACCTCGAGCTCCCTCCCACCCCTGGGCTCACGTGCCGAGCCTCGCGACCTCAAACAGCACCCAAGAGAACGGTGGCGGTTGGCGAATCCGGGGAAGAGTTCCAGCGCGGGAGGCGGGGAGAGCGGTCCCCGTGAGTCTCATGTAAAAAGCTCCTGAGCGCGCGGCGGGAACTAGAGGCCGGCCATGCAGAGGGGTGTGTCCGGGAGGCCCTGAGCTCCCTGATTGGCCGGTAGGATGACGAAAGCGTTTACAGTAGGCCTTACGAGCAGTGGGAGCTTGCGTCAGCTTTGCGCTTTCAGGGTGGGAAGAGGGGGCGTGTCTGGTGGCTCAAGGGGCCCGCCGATTGGCTGGAAGGCGCCGGAGCCGGGTGGCTCCGCGGGCCGCAGGAGGGCGGTGCCGTGGGCCTGGTCCCGGAGGTGGCGACCGGCATTAGTGAGATGATCATGGCAGCTCGGACCGGTCAGAGGGCTCTAAGAAAGGTGGTTTCGGGATGCCGTCCAAAGTCGACGGCAGCAGCCGGAACCCCGGCTCCGGCTCAGGGAGCTGCGCGGTACGTCAGGTAATAACAGGGGTGCTACGACGGGGGTAGCTTTCGGCCTGGGCTTGCCGAGTGGAGGGCCCGAGGAATTTTGGGGTGAGGCGGGGCCGGACCGGATGCATTTCCGCGTCTCTAAAGAGACAAAGTCCTGAGATCGGCATTTGAGGTACTTAGGCTTTGCGCACGTCACCCCGGGCGGGAGGCTCGTCGGGTTAGTGGCTCGCTACCCTCGCGAGAGGTGGTGAATCCTCGGCCGAGCGACTTTAGGAGCCACTGATAAAGCAACTCGGCAACGGGTAACTTGGGGTTCTTCCGGTCTCCTCCCCTACGGCCTGCTGCTGTTGCTGCTCTCGGGAAGTTTTAACTTTGCGGCCCAAGAGTTGCTGGCTGCCGGGCTGTGGGAGTTTATGGCCCGGCGGTGAGCCCTCTTCTGTTCCTCCAGCGTGCCTGCTGGCCCGATGTCCTTTCCCAGTTTGGGGTAGGGGGTCTTTGACTCCGCCCTTTGGTGCTTGCAAAACTAAACGTAGCCAATACGATTTTTTTCCACTCGACTGTCACTTAGAGGTCCTGTAACCTTGAACCAGTCTTCGATTTACCTGGTTGGTTCCTTTTTGGTGGGTGGAGGCGGAGACAGGAATGATTACATACTTCGACCACTTAGTTTTTTTTTTACTAATGACTTTGTAATAAAGTATGCTCGAAAATTATAGTGTTTAAAATGTATTCAGTTGTAAACAGTACAAAATGAAGGGAGGAAGCACAAATGTTGAACTCCAGGAATTTAGATTTAATGAAGAATTTTTCAGTTACCCAAAACAGCCAACTCTAAATCCTTTTAGAGAAATAGTGGTTGAAATAGAAATAAAATAATCTCATATCGTTTAGTCCTGCTGAAGGAAACAACCTGAAAGAGGACTTCTAAGCAGAACATAGTCTATCATGCTTTAGATCTGTTTGTGTTACCCTTATAAAATGTTGGCTTGCAAATAAACCAAACTGTTACTTCTAAGAAAAAAATAAGATTGTTTTAATGATCAAATTAAGGCGTAAATTCCAAGACAAATATTTATTGTTTATAATAATGAAGAGGGAGGAAGTTTATGAGCTCATTTTTAGGCAGAAGCACTAACATACGTTCTGGCCTTTATTATAGTAGAGTATTTGAGATGTAGTATTGGAAAGTTAGTGACAAAAAGCTGTTCTTCATCTGATTCAGTTTTAATTTCATGGTTTAACAATACATATGACTGTATGGCTCCTCATTGCAGTTGAAGATATTATATTATTCTTGATAATGTGTGAAACTAGATGTGCTGTCCAGTGCTTTTAACCATAGTATGGGAACTCATCAGGAAAACTATTAGCTTGCTCTAAACACAGCTATTTCCTTTATGATTGTAATTAGATTGTGTAAGGGTTTTTTGTGGGGGTTTTTTTGGGCAGGAAGAAGGGGAGGTTGGGGCGATGGTATTACATAAACTTGGTACAAAATTCAAAACCATGTACAGTGAAAAGTAAGTTTCCTAGTCAACCAGTTCACCTTCAGAAGCAACGGTCTTAGCTTTTTTAAATAAAGGTTTTCAGAGATGCTGCCTTTTCTGATACTGACTTATCAGAAAATTATTGGGTGTGCTCAATATTTGTCACATAATTGGCTTCCAATAATAGGTAATAAGGTAACTATACAAAAAGTGGGGAAATAGGTAAAACTGTTATAACAAAGTATGTTTTAGAAGGGAAACGTGATTAGGTATTTTGTACACCAGATTTGGTTTTTGTGATCAATACAATTAACAGAGATCCTAAATTATGTTATGTGACTTTCTAAAGGAAGCTAAATTAACTGCCTAATTTTTTATTTCTGCTGTTCTGCTTCATTTAGCAGAGTAACTCATTCCTTTTTATTAGTATAATCCAACTTCTAAGCAAACTCTATAGGTTAACTCTAAAGAAAATTCACAGTGGGCTTATTTTAATATTATCTCTGCCTTTAAAATAAGATGCACATAACAAATCATATTTTTAAAGATTTTTGGGAACACTTTTATTCTCTCTAGGAGATGAATCTATCTAAAATAGGAACAAATTTTTCTCTCTAGAAGATGAATCTATCTAAAATCTCTTTTGACTAAAAAAGAATATCATAGATATCTTTAAAATATGCTGTTATCATCATTATAAAATCAAATACTACTTGTTATAGCCTAGAAAACCTAGAATTCTGAAAGCTATCTTGTTTTACTATATTTTCCCCATTGTTCATTTTTTTGAAGTGTTATTTAGAACTGGATACATAAATATCCTAAAGTCTTAAAGGGGCCAGTAAGTTCATCCATACATTTCATATGTTTTATTCTTTTCCTTTACATTTTATTTAATAGTTGTGCAGTGTTTAGCTTAACCATTTTCTTTTTTTTTTTTTTTATTTATTTATTTGAGAGAGCACATGAGAAGGGGGAAGGTCAGAGGGAGAAGCAGACTCCCTGCCGAGCAGGGA